TTTTCTCATTTTCAATAGCTCCAAGAGGCTAGGCAGAAACCTTCTCAATGTTGTCATCACTAACTTTTAAACACTTCTCAGCCCTTTTAGTCCATGCGTTGAAACAGGCCGTGAAATGTCCACTTGTTACATTTTTAAGCTTACCCGGAACAGCAGCAAGGACCGCGCGGAATCGTGTAACCCCTCGTAATTATTTCAGTAGGGTAGGATGTAAATGTATTGAGAAGAAATTCCAATTTGATATTTCTTTTTTGCATTTGGCATTCAGAATGGAACAACGAATGGTATTCTAAGATCTACTGCATTGATTGAGTTTCATTATTACATGCATAATTTGCATGGGTCTTCCAAGTTCCAAGGAAGGCGATGGATTTATGACGTAGTTGTCATTATTTTAAGCGTTGTGTCCTGTAAGAATTAAAGCTGACGATAAAACACATGCAGAACTACATCAGGTGATTACGGAAGAATAACTTCTTGATTCACGGCTCTTGTTGCAATATTTTTGCTACGAGCAAAGTATGCTAATATAGTGAATTCAACGAATTAACGTTGGCTTTTTATTTCGAGAAATTTGGAAGTATCCGATTTCGAAACAATTATGCTGACCAATTAGAAAGCATCGAAGTTAAACTGCTGTGAGCGGAATTAATTACTGCATTCATATAAGCAGAGGTATTCATTTTATTTGTTCTTAAATTGCTGTGCTGCGAATCGTATTTTCAATCATAATAGTGAAATAAATTCTATTCAAGGTTGATGCTGAAAATTTGAGAAGTTATGAAGATCATGGCTTCTTCCAAGGGAATCAAAGAATCAACTGATGGCGAAAGAGATTAGTATAGCTTGCAGCCATTGACTGTACAGTATTTTTTCTTTGCTCCAATTTGCAGCAAAAAAATTATCAATTCGCCTTTTTTTAACGGACGAACCATACTCACTTGCAAATTAGACACCTGTAAGTGAAGGCTTACCCTGTTTTTGAGCACATATCAGACATTTCCATGAGTCACGTAAAAATAAACAAAAGGTTCGAGAGAAAAGCTGGAAATTGACATGAATGAGAGAGAAATTTTGTTCGGTTCTCAAATGTTTCTCTCACTTATAAATAGAACATATAAATAGAACAGTACTGTATCATGCCTCGGACAATCAGTACAGTAAAAGCAGGATGTCAATGCAACACTAACTTTTTTTTCGATAAAAAATTTGTTGGAGTTAGTACGTATAAGACCTATAATTGCGTTGAAGTGTCCATTAACCCAGCTGGACGGATATACATTTTTTTTTCAAAAGGCCAAAAACGGCGAATTCATTTTGAATGTTGAAGGACGATCAAAATTTGGTGCACTTTCTCTCGTCAAAATCGCTTCTGATTTCAGAGGTTGACTTCGTCGACCCAAGAACGAATTCGATTCGGATAATCCAACTAAATGTGATTGCTCTCTCCCGTCAAAAGCAACAGGAGTGCGATTCCAAAAAAAATATTTAATGAAATTTTTTTTCATAAAAGCTCAAAAATGGTTATTTTTTCCCCTTGGAATATAAATATGAATGCAGAAAGGAATGTGTAAAAATTTTCACCGCGTGTTTTCCCGTCGGGAAACGAAACGCGGCATCCAGCCTTGGAAATCACGAGAGGAGCTGAGCGGCGGCCTTCAGGCGGTTGACGAGCGTTTTATCGCGGCTTGATAAATAATCCCTCGGCGCCGTTCGTTGATTATTCTCGGCATGTAAAACACTGCGAAATGTTTCCGTCTTGCAAGAAAAAAAAAAAAGATATGCGAAAGATGTGTTCAACTTCACGTAACAATAAAAGAAAGCCGCCGACGAATCCGTATTATTCAAACTTCATTTCTCCGTCTCACTTCCGATTTTTCTTTCTCTATATATACACATTCGACTGCTCAAGTGGGGTCAGCGGTGTCAAATGCAATTATTCGCTGTTGGGTCGAACCGTGTCAAGATATTGCCATTGAGGGCACCTCTCAGCCAACGCTGGGGAATTTTATAAACTGCCGCATTCCTTTTCGGCTTCCTGCACATGTACAAAAAAGTACTTCGTTTGTACTGGTTCTCGTTATCGGAGAAGGAGAAACGTCAGCTTCAGTTTACTGATTGGGTCACACATACCAGAATCGATCTGAATTGAGGTCAGGAATTGTGTGCCGTGAAGATGATCGAATTACTACCGATGAGTCTCCCATATTAGGCTTTGATGACAGCCTCTAATCAGTACTGAGAAATAAAGTTCGATGGCGGAAATAATGAAGCATAAAAACAGAGGTTTGCGATGCTACTACATACTGCTGTAGTTTTCAAAGACGTGAACAGATTCTTGTAATTTTCCCTTTTAGCATCTAATTTTAGATATTAACATGCAATTGCTCTCAATGATAGCAGTTTTCCAGTCGTATGATAATTTCTCTCGAGCGACTCGGCGATTAATCCAATTGCATTATAATTTTTTCGAAATCCATGCTTGTCGATACCTTTGACACAAATTACGTAAATGTTTTAAGACTGAAACTGGGGACCCACGAAAATTTACTTGTTGTATAAAATAAATGGTTGAAAAAGGATACCAATACTTCTTTTGTCAGTTATTAAACTCAGAATTATTTTTTTTAATATGTGTTACAATATAATTAAAAGGTATACCGTATATGGAGAAAGCAGTGTTGAATGTCCAGAATTCTGAACAAGGATGAGATTAAAATAAAGTTCGTGGTGGTGTTGTTTAATAGTTATCATTTTAAGATTATTTGGTATCTTGACTAGCTTCCAATAAGTTGCAAGTAACTAGCGAACGTAGCCAAGTCGTACGACTCATTGCAAAATCTTCAAACGTTTTTGGTAACATTTTTGCATTACACTGGCAGATCTCGATAATAGCATATAATTGCGATCATGCAGTTAATAATTTTGTTTTCCTGTAAAAAAAGAGATTCGATTCAAGGGGAGAAATAAAATCCACGCGTTTAAGAATTTGATAGCGTAATACTGCACATTCATTTAAAAGTTTAACTTTGAAGTGCAAATGTGAAAATTTGTCTTTTAGAATAAATACAAAAATAATATAAATGTCTCAAGTGCATCAACTTCTAACAATAAGTAGCCGATGTTTCACAGCTGAAGAGGTGAATGTTTCACTTCATACAACATCGCTATGATACTCCTTATATATTCCATCGATTTAGATAATAATATTCGGAGTATACTCATCTTTTTTTAATTTCGCGGATTCTTTATAATCATTAGTCATTCAATTTTTCATCGCAGAACTAGTAGACTTCAGAGATTTTAAACATTTAACAATAACATTGATGTACGCTTCCATTTTCCGTTTTACAATTAGAATCCGATGAAAGCAAGACGAAGACAACTTCACAGCTTACTCTGAAGTACAGTAAAGTATTTATAACTTTTTTGCTGAGGCATTTTAATTTGGAATAGGTTTAAATGTTTTGCGGAATCGTCGACTCTTTGATTTCTCGCGAGTGAAAAGCGAATTGTTGGGTTACTTTTTTATGCTGCTGCAAGCTGTAAAATTAATCCAAGACCGAAATGAACGCTTTTGTTTTCGAATTTAGTTTTTAATCCAAAGCATATTTTTGAAGTCCTGTTTAAAAACTGAGAATGCATGTGAATGGGCAGAAGATTCAAGTGAGCATTCTTCAAAGAAATGATCCGTGGAAACATCCCGGAGTTGCTGAGTTCACGCTGCGATCGGGAAGGATTTCTCCACGTGAATATAGCTTCCGTTTCCAGCTGTCAAGATGATCTCTTTCAACCTTTTTTTTTTCCTTTCCTTCTCATTCTTTTCCGTGCCCGGGTCGTCAGGGCTTATTATTAATGCACAGGGCCGGAGGAAATTTGTAAGCCTGACGCGCAGCGTGACGCTTTCGTGTTGCCCAAGAACAACAACTTGGTTCCACCGAGCGCGGGATTTTTACGGACACGTTTGGCCCCACAGTCTTGGCAAAGCGACCTTTCTATTTCTTTTTTGTTGTTATTGAAAAATTACGAAGAAAAAGGCGAGGAACTGCTGTGTCTTTCCATCAGTTATCCCATTTTTAGGCTTACTGTGGGGTGTTTATTGCGGAGAGCATATGGATTCCACTGTGGGTTGCGCAAACTCGACTGAGGAATAAATCGGTAATTTTCCGCTTCAACGCGGGCTGTAAATCACACATTTTCTCCGGAACTCCGCGTCATTGTTGTAAGAAAATTTCCCGAGTTCCAAGGAACGAAGTCTCCGAATGTGCATAACGAGGGTTGTAATGTTGGGAAGCACGATTTGAGAAAAAGCGAAACAGATGAATATTTAGGATTATTTCCCAGCCTTTGCCGGGACTAATTATTCTAGCTACAGCATCAGCCTGAAAACGTGTTTCATGGATTTCCCTGGAGTTCAATTCCACGTAAGCGCATGTATGCTTTTCATTGGCTATTTACAGATTAGGTATCATTGGACGCAGAAATTATTTACTGTACGACTAATGTATTGATTAACCCATGTGACGACGAATCTGTACTCTCTTCCGATTTACTCCCTTTGCTATCCCACCGAAATTGTTCCGATCAAATTTCAACCAATAAATTATTTTAAAAGTCCAAACTTCGTTTTGCACGGCTGACGGTAGAAAAGTAATCTAAAAAGACTCCCGTACTTCAAAGAAACTGATTACGAAGCCCTTTAATCACGTGGTAATATTTTCTCATCAAGGTTCATTTCATTCAAATGAGCTTGCTGGTCATATCAATGCAAATACTGTACTGGAGTGTCTTGGAATAGGACTGCATACAAATGAGCTTCAATTTGACGCTTTCCTCAATGAGATAAATCAAGCTGTTCCAGAGGAACTGAAATTTCGGTCTCGTTTTTTCACCCGTGTATGTATATTTTTAAATTCAAGAAAATTGTCGATTGAAGATTGGGCCTCATCCGTGTGCGTTTGTGGTCGCTTCTGAATCACTCCAGCACAACGCGGCTAAACATGAAGGATAGAAGACTCATCGAGGAATTTGATTTCCGGTGCCTTTTTTTTTCGGGATACCCGCGGGATCGGGAACGGAGCCCGTTCCCCGAACCCGAGGGCCCAACGCGGACCCAGCGAGTCTGGCACGATCGCCTTATTCCCCACAACGCGTACACGTACATGGCACATACCTTCCAAATATATATATACACACACACGTATGCATCTCTGGCACGCACACACAATGCTCATGTGTGCCTCCGTTCATTTTCCACTCATTCATTCTCTCAATTCTTTCCCTTTCCTCTCCCCCCTTTTTTTTCTCCACATTTTATCTTTCCTGTCGTGAGCCTACTTTTCAGTGAGTTCACTTTCTGATCTCTGTGCATGCGTTTCACCCGCACGCGGCGTTTTAGTGCTTCTTGGTTGAATGGGAATATTATTTAAGTGGGAAAATGTAAAAGTCTGACATTAAAACGTTGAGAAGTCGAGCTTAATTCTCACGGGAATAGTCGGCAGTTTCGTTTGCCTGACAGAAGGGATTAAAAAATTTTGAACGGTTATTTTATGTACGACACAGTACTGACATACACGTGTGACTGAGGGCTGAATATACTTCGCCGATTCAAATATCTCTTGTAGTAATTTAATTAATTTACACGCAATAAACGTGCTACCGAGTTATTATTAAATTGGTTTCACTTATTTGTAATGATAGCGTGGATTATCCAGCAGATTTTGCGAGCGCCAAGTGTGTAGTGCAGTCTTTCGATCACATATAATCTCACGTAGATACAGATATCAAAAACGTGAACGGGATGATCCAGTAGAGGTACTTGTCGGAAATATACTGGCGACATTTTATGATACCTGCAAAATTATCTTTGATGCACTCCATGACTCCAAGAGGGCTGTACAAAATTAAATATCGCTGGAATAATATAGACACCATGATTCATGCCTACAATAAACTTGATAATGTCAATAAATGTGAGTTATCGTTTGTCCAAAAGGGTCTCTTGTGAGTAATTGAAAAGTAGTTATCATATTCACGACTGCGCGTGATTGCTGCGAATTTAAGGAAAGTCAATATAATGAATTGACTTTTAAGAGCTAGCAATTTATTGCGAGCAAAATTATGTAATTAAATATGCGAGGGTTGCCCAAAATCGGCAGAGACTTGAGACTTGGATCAAGTTAAATAGAAGTTAAGATAGATTAAGTCCAAAACAAATTTTTCCGTCTTTATCATGAGTGTGGCTTTCGATATGTATTTTTGACCAATTTTTCAGAACACTAAATGACAAAATTGTATTCGTTGTGTTCCTAATAAGAATTTTTCATTTATTTTGCAGTAAACTCCAAGTTTTGAGACTCAGGTTACACGTGCCTGCTATTTTTAGTAGTGTTGGTCGTTTTTTCTCTTCGTAATGTGCAATAGAATGTTTTCTGATTATTTGGAAGATTTTTATTGTACAAGATAGACGAATGAGAAACTCAGCATTCAAGCGAATCCAGCAACAATTGCTGGTTGGATGACCTTTTAACCTCTGGATGGATGAAACCTTAATTCCATATCAGTAAATTTTTTTTCTATTGATCATTTTGACAAAACCTTGCCAAAACCTTCATCCTGAGCCAAGTAAAATTAGTGTTACTATTTATATGGTAACACTTCGGCATCTCGGAATTCGGCCGAATTCCACATTCCTGTTTAATCCTGTATCTCGGTCTTTTGGAGCATTCTTGAAGACACATTTTCTTGCTCCACATTTTTTGGACTACAGTATTGCACACCATTGTATTTACGCAAGAACCCCGGATTAAAAAAAAATTAATAGTTCATGCCTACAATAAACTTGATAATGTCAATAAATGTGAGTTATCGTTTGTCCAAAAGGGTCTCTTGTGAGTAATTGAAAAGTAGTTATCATATTCACGACTGCGCGTGATTGCTGCGAATTTAAGGGAAGTCAATATAATGAATTGACTTTTAAGAGCTAGCAATTTATTGCGAGCAAAATTATGTAATTATATATGCGAGGGTGGCCCAAAATCGGCAGAGTCTTGAGACTTGGATCAAGTTAAATAGAAGTTAAGATAGATTAAGTCCAAAACAAATTTTTTCGTCTTTATCATGAGTGTGGCTTTCGATATGTATTTTTGACCAATTTTTCAGAACACTAAATGACAAAATTGTAAACGTTGTGTTCCTAATAATAATTTTGCATTTCTTTTGCAGTGTACTCCAAGTTTTGAGACTCAGGTTACACGTGCCTGCTATTTTTAGTAGTGTTGGTCGTTTTTTCTCTTCGTAATGCGCAATACAATGTTTTCTGATTATTTGGAAGATTTTTATTGTACAAGATAGACGAATGAGAAACTCAACATTCAAGCGAATCCAGCAACAATTGCTGGTTGGATGACCTTTTAACCTCTGGATGGATGAAACCTTTATTCCATATCAGTAAATTTTTTTCTATTGATCATTTTGACAAAACCTTGCCAAAACCTTCATCCTGAGCTAAGTAAAATTAGTGTTACTATTTATATGGTAAAACCAGCCGAATTCCACATTCCTGCAATTAGGACATAGAGCCAGAAAACCTCGTAAGAACTTCTGTGTAAAAGAACGAGGTGTAAAAAACCTGATGTCATAACGTGTGGTAACATAAATGCGTTCTTGGGGCCTAATTTTTTTTTAATTATCTTCGGAATAATGTATCTCTTTCTGAAACACGCACCCCAGTTCTCTGACTCGAAATGCAATTATTTGAAAGTGGAACTTCAGCAATTAAACTTTGAATTCCGTCTTGGATAAAAACTTAATGCCATTATTTTTGAATTGGCTGTTTCTTACTTGAATGAAATAGATATTATCTTTTAATCGAGGCAACAGTTACATATTTATCCTTACTGCAGTTTTTCAAATATGATATTCTTGTTGAGTAATTTTTTTCGAATCAAATATCTTGTAAGATGCATATTCACTTCATTTTTATTTTTAAAAATTCTGCCCTTGTACCATGCTCGAACGACATTTTTGACACATGTTGTTTCAATGTGTGTGCGTTACTCGAGTGAATGTGGAATCCGTTTTTTATTCACACACATTCTCAGCTTTTTTTCTGACGGAGAGTATTCGGAAAATATCTTTACACTAACGTCCAAGAGGGATTTTCAATTCCCTTGTTGAGGTTGTTCTTGTTCTGCAATGTGTTGTTGCGACCACTGAACTGAAGTTACTATGGTTTTGTATCCCAATGCTGTTGCGCCCGTTGCCAGGCGCCGGACTCCCTCTCGTCCACCAGGTTCCCTGCTGGCAGAGAAACGAAGCTGACTTTTACTTTTATCTTTCTTATTAAAACTTTTTTTCTTACATTCTCTGTGTCTTCGTCGACCTCTTCATCGGGTGGAAATTTTCCTCTTCCTGGACGCTCTCGCGTGATGCCTTGTGTATATACACTCAATCTCGTGTGTGTACATGTAGCCATGTTGCATGTGGCCGTGAACTTCGATCGGCGGCTCGGCCGCCACTGTATACGAACGTACGTACGGTCGGCCCCGCGAGCTGTTCTTTACTCAACCTCGGTTTCTCCTTCATACTTTACCTTCTTTTTTTTTTTATAAATATTCTTGTCTATATTTTGAGCAAGAGGCTTTTTGCCTTCATCACAGCAGCAGCAGCAGTTAGTGTTCGACTGCTGCCCAGGCTTGAACTTGAACCGCGGTGGCCTGAAATGTTCCTGGGGGATTGGAATTAATCAAATGCCTCGTGAGTCGTGAGGGGCAATTAACCGCACGCTCGTCAACGAATACGCCCCGCCATTCCTCGTTTTTCGTCTGCATTTTCGTATTTTTTAAAATTTTAAATTGGGCGTTCAGAGGACTTACCTCAAATGTTCATGACTCATAAATTAATGATGGGCTATAATGACGCGATTGTCTTCCGAATCGAATGGCTTTCGATCCATGATAATTGGTTGAAATTGTACTTAAGCACCTTATATTGACGAAGGGTAAATACTTTAAATTCTCAATGCATTATTTTATGGTAGCGAAAAGCACTTTTTTATGCCAATGTGCTCGTAAGACTTAGACAAGACTTGTGCCAAGCTTTCCTTGAAACCTCTTCACGGTCCAGCGATTCAATCCAGATTTACATACGCTCTCAGAATATTTTGGAAGTTGACTTTCTGGATAATTAACAGTTCTTGAAAATTGACCCGAATTGTTTACATCCATCAGGATTTTATGTACACCCTCAGTCTTACTGCGACCTTCAAAATGAATTTCGGATAATTGCTGTGCTAATTAGCACAGCAATTGGGAATTTATGATTCATCCTTAGCTTTTTTTTTTCTCCTTTCATGACATCGTCTTGAAGCAACAAAAAGTTATTTTTTCAGAAACATTTTTATGAGGAACGCAGTAAATTGTGCAGAATTTTTTTCAATAATTGGATCCCCCAAAGACATTTATTTTTATCAAAATTAAATTCCTAAGAAAACGTTTGAAACTGTTGACTGAACGCGAGAGTCGCATGTCAATACTGTATTATAAAATATACATCATATGGAATATTATACCTATCATATCATTGATTTATATGCTGTATCATAATTCGCTT